GGCACAGTTTCTAGTAATCATCATTTTTTAATAGGTCTTGTAGATTAATTGTGGTATTATAGTATTTCTTTGTGTATCATAAATTATCGAAAGAGAGAATATCCAAGTAATTTATAATCATAAATAATCCAGATTGGTCAGCAGCTTAGTAGAGGTACAGACCCCACGTAGACTGCCTGTAATCAACGTGGAGCTTTTACTTCTTAATGTACATTTATGTAGTTAAATTCATGAAATTTCCGGTAGTCAAGGAAACTGAGTCCAGCTAACCATGTAGAGTTAACGTTGTAGTTCATCATGTAGACCTAACATTTGGTGATTACCCTAGACTCGTCTATAGTCAACATAGAGATTTTTCTCATTAATGTCAATTTATTTAGTAAAAATACTACTATCAAACTTAATTAAAATTTTTGTGGACTTAAAAAATTAAACATATTTTTTCTTATAAAAAAAAAATATCAATAATAGAATCAAAAAACTTCTTATTCGGCGTTGACATTTAAACAAATTTTCTCTCTAAATTTGGAAGCTAAAGATCAACATTCGACTTGTGCACAAATTAACACTTCCGACAGGAACTTGATGATCTTTCGAGTATTTCAAAAAATTAGACAAAAAAAAATTAAAAAAATTTAATTTTCCCCTTTTCTTCCAAAAAGAATAAAGAATTTTATAGATTTGTATTGAGGTATTTATTAGCTGCCATTGAGTAATATTTTCCAAAATCTGTTTGCAGCTTTTCTGTGGAATTTTCTGGGGTATGGGCACACTTTTTAACTCTGAATTTTTAAAAACAAATCAAACACAAAAAAAAATATCAAGAAACAATACTGAAAAAATTATAATAAATATAATTTATATAAATATAAAAAAAAAAACTGTAAAACCTTTAGAAACACATAAATATTTTTTGGGTACGCGTGAGTGAACACTTAATTTCCATTAAAAAATCTGCTGCATCCGAGCAGTTGAACAACGAATCTTGGGGGAATACCTAAAAATAGTCACACTAAAATATTGAGCACACCATATCAAAGTGATTTTCATCTAAACATTTTCCATATTTTTTTTTTTTGTACTTTTAGGTCACACAACTCTCGGCAGTCCAAAATACGGCTTCAGTACGCTGGAATCGCGCAAATCACGACAACGACAGCGTTTTGTGCGCAAAAGTTCGCTACCACTCGAAAGCGGTGGCAATAGTAGCGGTGGCAGTAGTGGGCCAGGGAGCAGTGCAAGCGGTGGTAGCAGTGGCAGCGCTGGTGGCAATAGTAGCACATCCGTTGTCGGCACAAACGCTTTGCATCACACTAGCAATATGGGCATTTGTCGAGCTGAAACATTTCCGGTATTATTGGATTGCAGTCAAGGTTCCGGTATTATTTTAGGACCACAAACACCATGCGGTCGTGCCATAACAATAGCACAGATTATGCCCGATTCGGTGGCCGATCGTAGTGGTTGCATACAGAAAGGCGATCGTATTATAGCCATTAATAAAATGTACAATTTGGATGTACAGACAATGCGGCAGTTGTTGTGTGATATTGTACCGCGTCAACAACATTGCGCCGCAAATTGGTTAGAGTTGGAAATTGAGTTTGATATGGCAGATTCTGTGGTGCCATCTAGCGGTGTTTTTAATGTGAAATTATTGCGTGCTGGTAAGGCCGGTTTAGGTATTACTGTAAATGGTGCTAGTCATGGCGGTATTGCAATTGCAGATGTTAAACCAGGTAGTCCAGCGCATCGTATAGGCACATTACGTGCTGGCGATATTCTATTAGCGGTAAATAATCATCCAGTGCAACATTTTAATATTGATGCACTGCTTAAGGATGGGTCTTGCAATGATTTCACCACATTGACTGTTAAACGTGTGATGTTGCCAGATTTTTTGTTTGATGCACAACAAAAGATGCCAAATCATATCTACAGCAATTGTCCAGCCAGTTCTAATGAACATGATTTATATAGTAGCGCCTATGTGACTGGTGGAACCAAATATAACGATTGCATTTCTATAAAATCTACAACACCCCAGCCTGAGTTTTATCGTGGATCGAGTATGGATGAACCCGTACAAATAAGACATCACACGCATCTAAATACAAATACGTGGAGTCCAAGTGCTGCTATGGGACGCTCATTTGCAGCACAAAACACACAGAGCTTAACTACTGAACTGCCAGATGAGGACAATAATTTCACTGATTATGGAGGCTATGATTTGGATCGCTATGCAAGGTAAGCTTTATATATGTTTATATTACTTACACATGCCATGTATAAGATTGCCAAAACTTTAAAAACTTCTATGTCTATGGTGAGATAAATTATGGCTATTGAAAAATTGTATAATATCTTATGGTTTTAAGTCTTATACCTTAGTCGGTATTCAATACAATGAACGCCATGCCGACAACTGTACTTTTTTCATGGAAATGGAGAAGCAAGTTCGCATAAGCTATCGAGTTTAGATTTAATTCGACTAAGAAAAATAATTCTAATAATTCTAATAAGATGTTTGGATTGCTTTAAACCTTTACTAATCTTCTTATATTCTCTTTCAGCGTTGATTGCTCTGCACTGCCACCACCAATGGAAAGCAAAGTTTATGGCTCAGCTGCGAGTTCTAGTAGTAAAAGCAGCAATACAGGAAATCCACATCAAGTTATCTTCACAGTACGTCTCGAACCAAAAGGTGGATTATTGGGTATTACACTGGCTGGTAGCGAAGATATTAGTAAACCCATTACAATAAGTGGAGTTATAGAAGGTAAAGAAACTAACTATATTAAAAAATAAATATAAATAATATATTAATATTTTGTCTTCTGCAACTAAGGTGGCATAGCGTATAAAAATGGACAAATAAAAACTGGTGACCAATTGTTGGCTATAAACGATGACATAGTGCAGGGCATGCCACTCTCACATGCCACTAGTATTTTACAGAATCTTGGTGATTTTGTAACTTTAAAAATTCTGCGTAGCTTGGATTCGCAAAATAATTTTGGTACCAATTTAGATACAGCAAATATGCCACAGCCGCAAGCAATTTATGCCAAAGTGCAACGTAGACCGCGTAGTCCTTCATCGACCACGGACACTACATCCACAAGTGGCAAGGATAACAAACATCGAATATTTCATGTTACTTTGTACAAAGACAAAGTATACGATGACTATGGTTTCTCAGTATCCGATGGCTTGTATGAACGAGGCGTTTTTATAAATCGTATACGCACTGGTGGACCAGCGGATCTGTGTGGTATGCTAAAGCCTTTTGATAGAATTATGCAAGTGAGTACTTTGTCTATATTTTTTAGTACTTTTACTAATTCAAAGTATATCTTTTTTAAAAAAGGTGAATGAAATGAAAACACAGGACTTCGATTGTTGTCTGACAGTGCCTTTAATTGCTGCTGCTGGTGACAAAATTGAAATGATAATACAACGTACGGAACCGTAATAACTAAATGATTTTATCGAGTGCCTTAAATCTTATTTGGTTTGGTATTAAATTGTATACAAACATAGTTTTTTTATACAAAATTTTTGTACCAAAAAAAGTTTTTTAATTTAAGTTTAACTGTAATCCAACTAATTTATGCCAAATATTACTCTGAAGTAAATTAAAATTAGTTTTAGTTTAATTTAAAAACTGTAGCTAATAAGTCGTTTTTGATGTGTCATAGACCATAAGCCAAATGAGTAAATAATTATCAAAATAGTTTTGACAGAAACATAATTTACTTTAAATTAATTTCTTATAAGAAATGATTTTTTTAATTAATTTAAAAGCAAATTTTTGCCATATCGACAATAATACGGAGAAATGTAACTTTGAAAAATATTAAATATATAATATTTTATTTCATAAATAATATTTCATATTTATTTATCCACTTATATGCCTTATTTACCATTTAGTATATATAAAATATTATATAACGTATATATTTAGAACTGTATTTACTTACATGCCACCATTAATTAACTATAATAACTTTGTAAGAAAATTTTACAAAAATTGTACTTTGTAAATTTTACATTTTTCACACGAGTTATTTAGACAAAGTATATCTTAAATAAAAGATTTGTTAAAAAAACTTAAAAAAACAATTATATTCCTATATTTTTGAAAATAAATATATATTTCGCCAATTGGATGGATAGATCAGTTGCCATCTTCTCTTGGAAAAGTGAAGAACGAAGCAGAGAGGGCAAAACAGAGAGGGCAAAATCCAATGAAATAGATTATCACAATGAGAAATATGCATTTATAAAGAAAACGATGTTCTATGATAAGCAAAGCCCTGGTAGAACAAGAATATTATATAAGCATACAGTTTGATAGACCACGGAGTAAAATTTTTTTCCAGATAGTTACCAGGAAAAAGGATAATACCATGGCCGCACATAAGATGATTGTATGGAATCAACAAAGAGTTACGAATATTAGACATAAGTACTGATAAAAAGAAAGCGAAAAGTCATGAAGAATATATGACTATCACACATATGACTATCCTTAAGGACTACTATACCAAATAATAAAGTATATATTTAAAAATGTACGGCTACTTCCAAGTTTTTAGAAACGCGCTGTGTTCTCGTTGAGGAGAAATATGTTCAATTCAGTTCATTCATTCATTCATTATAGTATATAATCACAATCTGCAAGCATACCAAACTACTTTATCAATTGTCATTATAACTATATATAACTATACATAATATTAAACTTTCTAGAAGAAAAGTTTTCAATTCCGAAAACATCAAACAGAATCTACAATAATGTCTTGAATAACTATAAATTGAAACTAATGAAAATAACTGACGTCATGAAGTTACAACAAAATGTGTGGGCATTATTTTACATTTGATCATGAGAAAAAAATCTGTAAGCTTTTCTCATTCCTCTCTCCCATTATTACTGGAATGAAGTTTCCACATTGCTTTGGAAATCTTCTTCTTTCATTCCTAAGAGTTGGTTTTAGTGAGTTCGAGTCTCACACTGTGGCTTTCGATGCTTTTCACCTACTGCAAAAGAAAAAAGCTGTAAGCAAAGTAGGTATCATTTCTGTTTACTGTCGATCAAGATCAGCAACGCGTTAATAATTTCAAATCCTGTTTAAATAAATTTAAATAAAATAATAATAAATTTGTGTGATTTAAGATCTGGTTGGTCAAAAAAATGTGCAACTGCTGGTGTTCGACATTATTTTAGCATAATGTAGCGGTATTATATACTGGGTCTACCTAATCATCTTATTAACATCATACAGCCTCTTTACAAAAATTCTTGGCTGTATGAATAAAAATATGTAATTTATATATTTTTCATTAACAACTTTATTTTTATACCCTTAACCGAAAAAGTTTAAAAAGGATGTATTAGGTATGTTGTCAACTGGACGAGAAATTAAGTCCAGTTTCTTAGTTTCTAAGGAATTCAATTAAACGTTTGCACACATACTTTTCGGAAGTGGATCTTGATCATTTATCGGATTTAAGAAAATCGGATCACTATATTCTATAGCGGTCACATAAGCAGAGCAATAGCTTTGCTTATATGAGTTTTGTTCGCTTTCAATAAAATTATTCAAATAACACATAATATAGAGTGTAATTATATATATATGTATATACAAAATAATAATCACTACGGATTAGATTTTAATATAGCTGCTATATAATTGTTAAATTTAGATGCATTCTTTCTTAGAAAAAGTTTTGTTTTTTTTCGTTATATATATTTATATAATATTTTGTTATATTTACGAGGGCTGTTTGATAAGTCAGTGACTTTTTGAATTTCCCACTCAGTTATTTCATATGGAACAGTGCTGTCGTCAGCTGTAATCTACCAGTGGGCAACTTTTTAATTTTGAGCAAGCTACGTTGTTCAATTGATGTTTGATAGCCGTTCAAAGGAGACATCCTCGTGAATTTTTACGAAAATGGAAAAAAGTGAATTTCGTGTGCTGATTAAGCATTACTGGTCAAAATTCACGAATAGGGATACGAACTGCTACCCCATTCAGTATATTCTCTAGATTTAGCCCCCTGCGACTATTTTTTGTTTCCAAACCTTAAGAAATGGCTGGGCGGTAAGAGATTTGAGTCGAATGAAGAAGTCATTACCGAAACAAACGCGTAGTTTGAGAGCTATGAGAAAACCTATTATTTGAAGGGAATAAGAATGTATCGAGCTAAAAGGTGTTGATGTAGAAAAATAAAATGTTTATTTGCCGTAAAAAATTTGTTTTATTCAAGAAGTCACTGACTTATCAAATCGCCCTCGTACATAAAAGTAAATACAAAGTTGTATTCATATTATTCTAGGTATAGGTATAGCTGCTGTATAAATTGCCGACTCAGAGTGAAGTTTTGGTGAAAATAACTTTTTTTATTTATATTTGAGAATTTATAATTTATAGAATTCAATATGTGTATTAGAAATGGTATTAACTGTGATAATAGACTAAGATTTACATTTAGATCGCATTTAATCCGGCGATTTAGGAACATTATATATATCGAAATATTTTTTAGTTTTTCAATATACGGAATATATAATTTAAAATTGAAATATCTGTTATGGATACCTAAAATGATAACGAATGGTTTAGATTTGAATGTAGTCGAAAACTGAAACTTATATTTTAGTTTCATTTTTATTCTATATTGTGGCAGTGCCATCTAGAGTAAAACCTATCCCAATTTTAAGAACTAAAAAAATAATAGAGTTAATTTAAAAAGAAATTTACTAACTTATTCAGTTATTGAGTCAAGAACTCTTATTAGTAGTAATATATATCATAGTAAGTATATGTTATTACATATTATATCATATAAATGAGACCTTAATATAGATTCAAATTTCTGTGTAAAGGGTATCGCAGTTGCGGCTAAGTCAAAGCTTTATTTACTTGTCAGTTTATTGAAGTTCTAAGAATTTGTAGTACCAGCCCCTATACTTATATATAATAAAGGTTAATAATATGTATAATAGTACATCACACTCTATTTGTTGTTTACATATTTGGTTTTATAAGATATTTTTAATAAAAACAATAGAAAATAGTACGTATATAATTATAAAAAAATATTTTTCTACTAGTATTACTGAGCTAAGCATTTTATTGAGCAAAATATTTACGTGAAAATGACGCTTGTTTTCCAATGCAACAGATGTGTCTTCCGTCATAATTCGGAATAAGTGAGTATGTTTACATTTGAATATTGATAACATACCCACGAGTTGTTATTCTTTATATAATATACATATATGTATACAAATTTCGAATATACTATATATTATAATACATTATTTGTAAACAAAATTTTGAACTATAGTCTGCTCCAAAGTCCAGAAAACGATATTGAGGCAACACACTCAAAATAGCCCAGACAGGTTAAAATGTCAGTGGCTAAATTTATTACAACATTCGGGGGCTTTAATTGGACCCACTACATGATTTCTTGCTACAAATCATTTGTTATCTCTTATATATTGAAATGGAAAAAAACAGCTTAGAAACTAAATTGACTAAGTAATAAATTACAAGTGTTTTTACATTGAATTTGTGTAAAATTATTTGTAAACAAACACCTCGAAGCGATAATTAGAGAACCAACAACATAGCAAGAAACTGATATAGTATATATATATTTTCAGGAATAACACACCCCAAGCGTAAACAGATTGACGTCAATGGATAGTAATCCTGTTAAAATTATATTTTATATTAAATGAAAAGGTCAACAAAGTGTAGCGATGTGGACTTTGTATTCTGATATTTTTGCATATCAGCTCAAAAAAATCTCGAAAAGCCATTCAAGGCGCACGTACATACGGGTTTTTAATAATTAACGGCGATAAGAGTGATTAGAACCAAAACATTATTAATTTTTAATGTGCCATTATAATTTAATTTATTCTGATCTTTTTATCAACTTAATTTTATTCGTTTTAATTGTATTTTAGTTTGAGTAACGTTGCCTTCGCATGCTTGACACAGTTCCCAAGAATTTTCGGATGACGCTATGAAATGCACAACGAAATCTGTCTGCGATTAACTCAAAAAATGTTTTCTTATCAAAAATTTCGTATCATCAAAACGTTCTCTTAACAAAATTGAAAGAGATTGTGTTGTTTTATTTTCTTTAACCGATTTTAATTAAATATTTTCTTTTTTCTTGAGTCTATCAAGACTGCACTTTTGAAATTTCTTTCTTAAGTCAAAGCAATTCATCTCGACGATATGAACTACCGATGATTAAAAATATTTATAGGCTTTTACTGCCATAAAAGTTCTTTTAATCATCTTCACTAACCTTTTCTATTTATAAGTTTTTATAATTTTTTTCTTTTTTTATTTTTATTACTTATTTCCACTGATCTTTGATGGTGCAGTCAAGATCAAAGTCTATAGATTATGGAAAAAGGAGTCGACCTTATTTATTGAGTCAGTAACCATGAGCGTACGCAGGTGTCTCAATAATTGTATTTATATTATTATATTTAGTGAAAAAATTAAATATATATTTTGTTACTATTTATTCATTGCTAATGTTCTTTCGACATACATCATAATTAATGGAAATATGAACATAATGTATTACAACAGTTATGTATTAGTACCTTCATTTTAACGTTTGGATCTTCGTGCCTCATTATTTCTGGGTACGCACATGGTATTAACTTCATTCAGCATTTTTAATATATTTAATTGTTCTATCGCACAGTAGTCGGAGGAAAACACTGTAAAAAACTTTTCACAGCGTTAGAAAACTTTTTGCAGTGTTTAAAAACTTTTTACAGTGCTAAAAAACTTACAGTGCTAAAAAACTTTTTACAGTGCTAAAAAAACTTTTTGCAGTGTTAAACTGTTATTAACATAACTTACTATGTTAATAAATTTGAAATTGCAGTCATTACTATTATTATGATACTTCGTAATTAATAAATCAATTATATTATAAATACATTAAGTAGGTCTTAATAAGTTAAGAGCAATAAGTAATGAGTAATAATTATAATAATAATAAATAATAAGTTATAATTAAGTAATTCTTTGCACTTATTGTTTTTTGTATTCAAATAAAGCTTTTATCGCAATGATATG